CCGTGGAGGCTTCTTCTGGTGTAAGGAATGCCGAGAAGCCATTGATTATGTGTTTGTAGCTATGAATAAGACATGTCTCAGCTTCTTGTTTTGAACCCTTAACAGAATGTAGAAATGAGTGGTGGTGTTCCTCTATTTCTTCCAAGTTTCTGTTCCCACTGTGCTCTCCAAGGTACACTATATACACCTGCAAGAATTGCAATAATGGAGTGATTAGTTAAACTACAGAGAGAGCCAATCAATAAGTTGATAATTCAGGAGATATGAAGTGAAGACTTCACCTGCCGTTCTTCACATACGGCTTTCATATGAAGACTAATGAGAAGAAAGCATAAAACAGCCAAATATTTCTCCATGAATCTTTTGCTGAAATTGTAACTCGTGATGATGAACTTTGCCTATTCCATCATTATATTTAAAGGGTAAGAATCAGTACGCTATCGATTTACTATTTTTATTCTCGTATGGAACTTCATTTTTCCATAACACACGTGCATGGAATTGGCCAATTCAAAGTTCACCAAGAGATAAAAACTTGTGCTGAAAGTCTTCTCCCAAATTGACAAAAACATGTATGTTAATGGTTGGCCATGTCTGAGTAAGAAGCATGCTTATGTCAATGTCAAGAATTTTCAACCAGTGTTTAATTTTACGTAAACTTCAGTGACTGCCTAATAGTTCTGCGGTGATTGGGACGTTCAAATTTTGAAAGGAACGGTACATTTCTTTTCTTTTCCTCGTAATTTCATGACTGTTCTGCTTCGCCACCCTTGCGTAGCAAAAAAGGTTAATCATACTTTGTCCCCCTGAGTTTTGAAGGTAGTCACCTTTTACCACATCAACTTTAAAAATATGCATTTCACTCCCTACATGTGAACTGGTCAGACATTAGAATGGTTAACACTTTTTGAATTTTACTTACAAACATTAATATTTTTATCATAAATTAAATGTTTGAAAGTAAAATACTCATAAAGAGCCGATACTTTAAATAGGTAATGCGTACTGCATATAGTTTAACATGCAAATAGTTTGTTAATTAGTTAATTAGTTAAGCAGTTAATTAGTTAATTAGTTTAACATGCAAATAGTTTGTTAGTTTCGGACAGACAATAGCTTTAGTTAATTAGTTAATTAGATAAATAGAAATTAGTTAATTAGTTAATAATTAATCAAATAATTAGTTAATAGTTAATTAGTTTAACTATTAACTAATTAGATAATTAGTTAAGCAATTGTCAAGCAAATAATAATTGTCAAGCAAGAAGAGGGCAAAATTGGAAGAAATTTCTTATCTCACTTCTACAAAAGCTGTCAGGGAGGTTTCTGCAACAAATTGTTACTGTTCAGGGGAAGTGAATGCAATTTCTAAACCTAGAGGGGACATCAGTGCAAATGTCAGAAATCTCAGGGGAGGTTTCTGCAATTATCCCAATAATCCATAACCTTGCTACTGTTGATAATTTAACTTTCATTATTTCTCAAAAGATAAATCTTAGTTTAGCGCTTAATGTCTTCTGGTCAAGTTCAATGCTTAAGATATATACTATGTTGAAGCATTCAAGGATCATACAAGTTGATATATAGTAAATTATTCTTAGAGAATATACTATTGTTTCAGGTGCAAGTTGAACATTTTCTATTCCGGCAGATGGTGAAAAGTTTAGAAACTTTTGAATAGAAAATGAGGATTAGATTTTCGTTCTTGACCATGGTTCAAAGTCGCGGTCGCGGCCTGGAACGTTCCATATCGGTCTCGGAATATCGGTCGCGGTCTCGGTGAGACGCCAATTTTAAAGTATTTAATATTCTAAAAATTGTTAATAATATAAAAAGTATGCTAAATAAAAATAATTAAAAAATAGCAAAAGAAATAGCCAAGTCAATCCGTCGCGATGTGACTCGGCTGATTTCTCGTCTTGACTCGGGATAACTCGGAGTGACTCGGTGTGACTTGGCCGAGTCAATCCGTCGCGGTGACGACTCGGCCAATTTCTCGGCGAGTCAAGTATTTCGGTATCGTTTCGTCACGGTATCGTATCGGTAGGGGCCGAGACGGTGACGACTCGGCCGAGTCGATCGAACCATGTTCTTGACTAATTCAAATCCGAACCACATGCGATATCAACTTGAAATTACTTTAGTCTAGCAGTGTGAAATCGTGGGGGCTGGCGCTGTTCTTGCCTTTACGATTCAAAAGCTGCAAAATGAACTCAACATGGGCATGTTTTGAGGACTTTGATGCAGTCAGAGATGATTTCTTTGCAGAGCTCAATATTGATACGTCCATTAATAATGCATTAGCTCTCGACCATAATGCAGTGTGAAATCGTGGGGGCTGGCGCTGTTCTTGCCTTTACAATTCAAAAGCTGTAAACTGAACTCAACATGGGCATGTTTTGAGGACTTTGATGCAGTTAGAGATGATTTCTTTGCAGAGCCAAATATTGATACGTCCATTAATAATGCATTAGCTCTCGACCATAACCATGTCAGTAAGAGGATTTTATTGAACATACAAGTTAAATATTTGAGTAGGAATTGACCCCGCTAGTTCATTTGTTGTGTTTATTATTCCATGGATGGATGGTTTTCTGTACTCTGTTTAATAGTTTTTTTTTTTTTTTTTGGGTTCTCAATTCGTTCTATGCCTTTAAAAACAAGTATATTTGAATACCATTTTATCGATATAAGCTAACTCTTCTAACTCGATTGTTTGCTCTGCCATGGTTCAGAGGTTTCAATCAATTTCTTAATAGATTTTCAATGCTTTCGTGTCCCTTTGTGTGTTGTGCTCCTCTTTCAACCTTTTTCATGGGTGTTTTAATCCCTCATGGATATTCCTTTTTGTGAGAGCATTCCCTTTCCGTTGTTCAAATTTTGCATGATATTTTCTCTAATGATTTTGTTCTATTGTACAAAGTCTTTTAAGGAATTTTTAATTACGTTTTACGATATTTTCACTCAACTAGCACATTTCCCATGCATAGTTAGTTACTAGGACTAACTCCACCTTACATCCCCGAACTTCTCAAGTTTCGGGAGATGCTAAGGTGCAAGTTTCGGATATAGTTAAGTTCTATTTAGTATTTACACTTGAGAAGGGATCACTGGAAGCGTGAATGAGGAAATCTTATATGTTGTGCACTAAATAACTTCGTATTCTATTTTAAATTTCGTTAAAAATTTGTGATGAATGTTGATTTAAAAATAAGCATGTCAATCGAGCCTAATGAGTCGAGTTCTCATAAGTTCAAACTCAACTTATTTAATTTGGAACATTTTCAGGCTTCGGATTATGAGTTTCGAGTTCATAAATATGAAACCCATACTCAACTCACATAATATTCGGGTTGTGAGTCTTAATCAGGCTTAGCCCAAGCTCACTTAGTACTCCTTAATTTTCTTAATATAATTACTATAACTATTAAGTTGTAAAACTAATTTAACATTTACAAGACTATAATATTAAAAGTAAACATGAACAAATAATAGTTCTTAAAAAGTATATAAACCAAAACTTTTTCAACAATATTTATATTTAATTCGTTCAAAATTCATGAAAAATAGTAATAAAACATGCGATCATAAGCTAATACATCTTTAAAAGTTAAAACTTTTTTTATAATCTTGTGATTTGAATCCAAACATGCTTGATGATTTGTGTTTATAGATCAAAAAGAAATCAAACAATATTATGTCAGCACAAAAATTTATTCAACCAATAAGAAAAGTTAGAGATTCAGTTATGCACAACTAATATTGGCTCTCAAAAAAGATCATGGAAGAGTCTTTAGATGTATTTTTATATTTTGTAATATATATAAATTTAGTATTTAATAATAATATATTTGGACATATAATTATACCAGTGGCGGAGCCAGAAAAAAATATTAGTTGGGGGCAAAAATAACACTAACATTTTTTATCTACTCTTTTTCTAGTTTTTTAAGCAAATAAATAAATAAATTCACCAACAAGTACAAATGATACGTATATTCCATGAAAAACATAAAAAGATAAACTTAAAATTATTAATGTAATACTAATTTTATTTTAAAAACAAACTAAACTATTTATAATTGCTCACGACGAGTTTTCATATTTTGATAATGGTTTACAACTTTTTCATTTTGAATTTCACGAAGTATATTTTTCTCAATATAAGTAATTAAACTAAATTTTGTGACCCATTCTTTCACATCTTTTCTAAAAAAAACTTTGGAGACATATTTAAAATTATGTCAAAATAAGTATTATAGAAATTTAAGGGGCCCCCAGTACCCCCACCTTAAATCCGCCCTTAAATTATACATAATATCAAAATATAAATATTATGTATATATATAGATAATTAAAGGGCCGAGCCTATATCGAATTTGAACCTAATAAGACCCAAACTCTACTCATATTTAATTCAAGCTTAATTTTTAAGCTCAAGCTTAGACCGGCTCACTAAAATATCGGATCATCGGACTTTTTATCGGACCGAACGAGCCGAGCTCAAGCTGACCCAGCCCCATTGACAGTCCTATTTAAAAATTGTTGCCAAATTAATCCTACATCTACATATTTGATTATGTTGTCTGTTAATTGATTGTTTAAATCAATTTATTTTATTTTTTGATAGTTTTTTGTAAAAAAAATTTAGCGTAGAAATATAATGAATGTAAAATAAAAAAGTAATTAGAAAATGTATCAAAGAAATATCCCCATAAATTTCCATCAAAACTTACAATCCAAATGGGACATATATGTATTGTATTATGATGTTTTTCAAATGCAATGCATCTCAATCATTTGTAAAAATTTATCCAAATAAAGCATGTAGCACCTAGCAAATAAAAATAAGTTTCTCATATTTTGTGAAACAAGTTTCCTTTGTTGGACATATATACTACTTTAGCCTATCAAATACATCTACCAATATTGACATTCATCTTTTCACTAAAATAAAAAGTAAGAAGAATTAAAAGAAAGAAAACTATGACGGACTTAGCTTCGAAAAGTAAATATGCAGTTCTCAGACTATTGAATGGAGGCTCTAATCAAACATAAACTACAAAAGCCACCACAATTCACCATCAATATGGGATCTTCACAAATAGAATGAAAACTAGGTGTTATCAGGAATTAGCAGGATCTTTCCTAGATTGCCATGTTTTTCGATCAGCCTAAGTGCATCAACAGCTTTGTCGAATGTGTAAGCCCTGCCAATTATCGGTTTGATTGAACCTACTTCAACTAATGGCCATATGTTCTTCTTGACTAGCAGAAGTAGCCTTGCTTTTTCAACCAAATGTAAAGTATTCAAGTCTGCACCTGCCAACAGTAAATCAAAGTCATTTTAACATGTATGTAGACAATCTAAATGTAAGTGAGAGGGCCCATTTGTTTCTTGCAAGAAAATTCCATAATAACATTACCCATAATTTCAAGTTCCATATCCTCAAGCGCCTTGCTGTTGAAATTTACGAATCCCCATGGATCTTCAAATCCAATTATTATCAACTTGCCACGGTACGCGAGGCTTTTGACATTCTGGTTCAAAAAGTTCACTCCAACACAATCAAGTATGTAGTTGACCCCTTATAAAGGACATATGCCAAAAGAACCAACATTAAGTTAGACTCAAATGCAACACGAAGAAGGCATACATAATGGCTCAGGGAAGCAAAACAAGATTCACATGTTTAATGGTCAAAAAAGAACTGCAAAAAGAGAGTGGAACAGAAATAAAACATGGCAGCTTCATTTGACATTTTCTAGTTGTATTGTGCAGCGGTTCTCCATTAATTACGAGTTAGAGCACTTCTAACACAGATTACTATAATTCAATATCGACCTCGACATGAACAGGGAATGTAACACTTCAAATTCCTCAATTATTATTTTTCCTATAATTTTGTCCACAGAAAGCAAGGTCATATACTTCATTGACACCTCCAATTTTAAGTTAAGGTCTGTTTGATAACATATAAGAGGGCTAAAACTAAACTTTTTCAAATATTCAGATGTTTTGGGTGTTTGATAAATAAAAATCCATCCACTGAACTTGTTAAGCGGTGCTGAACTTCTGTGTGTCTTTTTCAGCACAAGAATCGTAACTGAATGCTAAATTCTGATAAGAATCAACAAAATTACTTCAACTACCTTATTTTATCTACTAAATCTACCATTGTTTGTTAATTATGTTCACAATTCTTATCTAATTAAACAATCTGATATTCTCTATTCAAAATTCTTATCTAATTAAGTAACCGGATATTCTCTATCTAATGGTTTTCTACTTCTCTTTTCCCCATTTTTAATGACTTTCACATCTTCTCCATACTTCTCATATAGTATATTTCATCTAACAATTTAAGCTAATTAAATCATAGGTTCTATTTTTTTTTGGATGAAAAGATATAAGGGCAAAATCATATATTTCAACTTATTAAGCATTCAGTTATAAATGTTTATCCAACAGTATAAATAGGTTCAGTATTAAAATTCAGACATTCATATATTTCTTTTCAGTGCTTAAAATTTAGCAAATTAATTATTTAAGTTTTCAGATTTCAGATTCAATTTTATCAAACGGAGCCTTACAATCTAAATGTTTCAATTTAAAAAAAGCAAACTTGTTCCCCAATTGATGTTATCCTACCCAAAAAGAAGCAAGTTGAATCATACCATGATTTCTGGAGCTAATTGAAAATAACACGCAATCCTTTTGACTCAATTATCAAAGCAATAATCAAGACTAGTGCGCAAGGCATGCCCAAATGCATGCAAAATAATACACAAAAGAAAGTTACAAGAAAAGAATTGAGGAAGTTGTCATAAATTTTCATAGTTCGTAACTTATCCTCGATTATTTAAAAAAAAAATATTTGCATGAGGGCAAAAAGGAAAGGCAAAAGTGGCACAAAGTGGCAACACCGATGCCCTTGCTCCCACGGTTGACATGTTAAAATGGATAGCCAAATGAAATAGAAGAAATTGAAACGCTATAAGCTCCATTGACAATTGTTCAAGTTCCGTTTCTTGACTCGTTAGTAAAGTTGACATCAACAGCCATCCTTGGACCAAAAAAAATTATAGATGAAAGTCTGCCAAAAATCACAGTAAAACTAGGAATGCAAAGATTTTAAAGTCCAAAGAAGACACGGTTTAGATGAAAAAACTATAAGCATATAGAAAGTACCAGCCCCATTAGTCTCAGCTTTTACACGTTGAGAGAAATCCTCCTCCTTGTGGTTAATGCAAACATCAGCTCCTAATGCTGCACAAAGTTCAACCCTTTCCTTGCTTCCTGGTAGCCAATAAAAGAGATAAATTACTCAAAAACTAAAATTTTGGCAATTTTGCACTCGAATAAATGAATTCTTCTTCAATTTTAACAATTAGAAATCTATAAAATGGTATAATGGTATCAGTAAATAATCATATTAGATTCCTTTACATGCAGCTGATTCAAGACAATCTTATTAACAAGTCAAACAAGAGCAACAATACCTGCGGTTGCAAATACTTGACAGCCATAGTGCTTCGCAATCTGAATTGCCAATGTTCCGACTCCCCCTGCTCCTCCATGTATCTGCAACTTATGGAACTCAAACTTCTCATTTTGCTTCAAAAAAAGGAACGAGGAAAAGCCAAGCTACACAGACCAAGGTTTTGAATTTTGATGACATAACAAATTACCAAAACTTTTTGACCATTGGTAAGCTTGTTCATGAGGAAAAAACAATGCCAAATGAGACATGCTGCCCGCGGCAAGGCAGCAGCAGAAGCTAAATCCAACTTTTTTGGAGGTGAAATGATATGATATGCAGGTACAGCCACTAAATCAGCACATCCTCCTCCCTGAAGGAGAGCACAAACCTACAAATAAAATAAAGTTATGATACAGACATGTAAAGATGATCTACCATCACAAATGCATTTTAAATTAAAACAAAATTGGCTTAGAAAAAGACGTTGAGCTGCATTTGGAGAGAGCCAAGGTAAAGCTAAGCTACTTGAAATCAAGTGACCTTAATTCATTGGATCATTTCCTTTTTTTTTAACCTTTTTACACAAGCTAAGCAGCATTTTGAAGAAATAACTACTTATCCATATCCAACACTTTTTGTTATTCAAGATCATGATGTAGCACATTAGCAACGTAAAACCAACACCCTTCTTGATAGAGATAAGTGCAAAAATCCACTAAGGTTTATAGGAGGCGTGGAAAGGATGTGTCACATGCCCAAGCATTGATTTGGCATGTTTTTGATGACAAGGAACCACCTTGGAAGTTGGTTCGAATCACATTGAGTTTGTTTTCTAATTTTCACCAGCAGGGGTATTTTAGTAATTTAATTAGCTGCAGGGATTTTATGTTTATGGTAATTTTTTGTTTAGTAATTATTATTGATAATTAGTATTTTAGTTATTATGGGAATAAGAAAATTTCGCTTTATAGCTTTTTACTCGAATTTCATTCTAGTTAGGAGCTCTAATTAGGATTGGAGTTGGCTTTGTTCTAGTACCTATAAATAACGACTTCTCCAGAAAGAGAAGTCAAATTTTATCGTTAATAAAATTTTCCTGCAGACTTGATGTCTTTCTTAGGATTGTGTGATACATCCTAACTTCAAGTGTGATACCTAAAGATTCCTAGAATTACTAATCAAATTTTCATCTTCTTAAGCATATTGTCTCATCCTATTCCTAGTTGCTATTTTAAATTCCAGTGAGATTCAATATCTGAGCTTTTCTACAAAGATGTTGTTCCTACCAAGTCTTCATGCTGCGTCAATTTTGGTAATCAGAGCCAGGATTTCCCATGACAACAAGAAGTGGGTTGAATTTTAGGAGTTGAATACAGACAAGGAACGGGATAACATCATTAACCTTCTCTTGAAGAGGGTTGCTGTGTTAGAAGACAAAAGTTTTTGATGTAAATTCTAATACTGAACAACAGCAAATTCCTGAATCTAGAGGCAACAGTGGGTCCGGATCTGGGGTCAAAATCAATGGAAAGGAACCAGAGCATCCCGAATAGCCTGAAGATACAACCAAGACTGAATCTAGTAGGAGTGAAAATAGATTAAATCAATCTTTTGGAAGACCACGAGCTTCTCTTCTTGACATGGCTGATGAGATTGTTCAATCGGCAAGGCAAGGGAGCCACTTATGATTTGGCAGGAGACATCACAAATAAGGTAAGAGTTGATATTCCTGATTTCGATAGAAGAATTGATCCTAAGGTTTTTTCTGATTGGCTTGCTACTTTGGAATGCTATTTTGATTGGTATGATATAACTGATGAGAGAAAGGTTAAGTTCGCTATCATGGAACTTCTTGGACGAGCCCAATTGTGGTGGACAAGAGTCGAGCATGATCTTCGACTTGCTGGACAACTAGCCTTGATGTGGGAAGAGATGAAGCTGCATTTGAAGAGAAAGTACATGCCTCTATATTATGAAGCTGATCTTTTGATGATATGAATAGCTTAAGGCAGGAGGGAATGACAGTTGCTGAGTATATGAACAAGTTTGAAGAGCTGAAAATTCGCTGCAGAAGAACAGAAAATTCAACACAAGCTTTATCCCAATATAAGTTGCGCTTGAGGCTTGAAATTCGCAAAGAATTGATGGGACATAATATCTACATAGTTGATAATGCATTTCAAGCAGCTCTTACATTTGAAAAGAGCCTGCGACAGACACTAATTAAGAGATTCAATACTCAAGGCGGGGAGGTAGTTCCTAAAAGATTTGCTGCAAATAGCAAGCAATATATATCAGTAGCAACTCAAGCAACTTCCAAGCCTGCAAAGACAAAAAAACTAAGGCTTTCAAAATCGATGAACGAAACAAGAACAAGCATGCACGTTTCAAGTGTGGTTTGAAAGGACACATAGCATGGGAGTGCCCGAACAAGAGAAACTTGCACATTGATGCCGATTTCGGAGATAAAGAAAATCTAAAGGTCAAGGAGGATGAAGGTGCTGATTATTTGAACGAGATGGCACGACTTAATGTTGGTGATTTGGAAGAGGAAGAAGAAGACACTCGTATCTCTCAGTTGTGAGGCATATACTCAGTGCACCGAAGTCACAAAAGAAAGACTGACAAAGAACTTCAATCTTTCAGAACTTAGTTTGCTATGGACAAGAAACTAGAAAACTCATTATTGATGGTGACAGTAGCATGAACGTGGTTTCAGAGTCTATTGTACAACGGCTAAAAGTTGCCTACAGAGCCACATCTTGAATCATACAAGGTTGCTTGGATCAACAGTAGCTCTTTTCCAGCAATGAGACATTCCTTGGTGTTTATTAAACATGGACCTTACAGTGATTCTATATGATGTGATGTTATTCCAATGACTGTTTTCCACATACTTCTTGGTCGACCTTGGCTATATGACCAAGATGTGGATCATAATGGGAAGTCGAACACTTATGCATTCAAGTTTAATAACCAGCAAATTGCCTTAAAGTCTATGAGTGCTGAAACTATAAAGAAGTTTCACAAGAAGAAACCAACCAAACAAGAGAATTCAAGGGTTAATGAAGTGATAGAGATGAGGGAGAAGCCTCTTCACATTTTGAGCAACAAGCAATTTGAAAGGAAGAGCAAGGAGCAAAGAGTTATCATGGTATTAGTCTTCTAAGAGGTGAAAATTTAAGTAGTTGTCAACTCTGAAGAAGTGCCTCCAGAAATTGTCAAGCCGCTGTCCGAATTTTCTGATGTAGCTCCAGAAGATTTGGCACATGGACTACCACCCATGCGTGATATCTAGCATTAAACAGATTTCATACCAGGTTCTCAACTCCCTAACTTGTTTGCCTATTGCATGAACTCAAGTGAATCTGTTGACCTAAGAGACAAGTGGATGAGCTCTTGGACAAAGGATCGGACATATTCAAGTCAAACTAAGTCCTTGTGCCATGCCAGCTTTATTGATTCCAAAGAAAGACAGAACCTAGAGAATGTGTGTAGATAGCCGCACAATTAACAAGATAACAATCAAGTATAGGTTTCCCATACCTAGACTTAATGATATGCTTGATATGCTGGCTGGTTCAATTTAAAACACCAATATGTGAGATAACTCATTAGCATGCATTCTATTGCATCTTTAACATCCTTTACTGCTTCCAAAAGCATAACTATATGTGCCCCCATTTAGATTTTTATTCAAAACCGAAATGAAGAATAATGGTTTTACGTCAACCATATTCAAAACATACATAGGATAAAACAGATAGTTACTGAATTCCCGTATGTGCAAATACAGACTTCAAACTACTTTATTGATCATTACATAGAATTTAATCAAGATACTGCATCTTTTCTTCCGTTCGCTTCTGAGAATCAGGAGATTGTAGATTAGGCGGGTTCTAAAAAATAATTGTTTGTCTACCTTACTCTCTCAGTCAAGATGCAATTATATGCAAGACCAACAAGTCTTCTTTCTTTGGAAGACTGCCGAGGCCTTCCCATGTTTGAATCCGAGAGTGAATGCCCCGCCCGACATTCTTGTCAAAGCATCAAAATTAGAAATACGAAATGATCAATAAACCATCCAATCCTATGTCTTAAAATTTCCTAATTCTATTGAGTAATGAGCAAAATATCATAATCCTTAATATTATGACTAAGCCTTCTTAGAAAAACAAATTTCACGGCGCTCTTCTTAGGCATTCTTTTTAAATTTCTGATTTTGGGTACAATAAGAATAAAAAAGTAACTAGATAATGGAAAGGGGACTAACCTCATCACCCTGCTTCCATCCGGCCACAAATTTCCCGGTTCTCAATATTTTCCCAGAGCATTCCATGCCGATAGGATATTTCTTTGAGGCATCATTTTCATCATTTTCGTCTAATCGTGGCCAAAGATCCATCCTGTTGAAGGTGGTGGCAGCAACCTGGATCAATACTTCATAATCCCCCACTATGGGGGCATCCACCTCTCTAAGGGTTATTACTTCAGGGCCTCCACACTTGTCATAAAATACAGCCTTCATTTTGTTACTTACACCAACCTAAAACCCCCCCAAAAAACAAACAGAGAGAGATTTAACCAATTTTCATTCAAATCAAATCAAGATAATCCACTAAATACATCAGCATAAAACCGATCAATACTTCATTATCCTTCACAACGGACTCATCCACCATTCTGGCGGTCAAAGCCTCAGGACCTGGTAAACTATGGACTTGTCCATTTTGTTAGTTATAGCAACCTAAAACCCAAACAAAAAGAGATGTTTCAACCAAAACACCAAATCCAAAAAATCAAATCAGCATAATCCACCGAATACATGCGCAAGAAACCGATATACATTAACCTAAAGCCCTCAAAAAAGAGATTTAACCGATTTCAACCAAATCAAATCAAGAAAATCCAGTGAATACACAAGGGTACAAGTCCATGGCTCAATGTCCGAGTCGACCCGGCCGAGTCGTCACCAGAACTTCAGCTTACACTCCACAACCGGTCCGCCATATCCTGGAGACGGTAGACCCGGTGGAAACTCGTTCAGACTCGGAAGATTCGAGCTGATTCGACTTCAGGAATCAAAAGACCGGCCGAGTCAACGCGTATTGACGCATCAGATATCCATGAACGAAGACTTTCACCACGATTTTCAGAGACTTTTAGGGTATAAACAAATAAATAAAAAGGAAAAATAAAACTTACCCGCATCCAATTTATGAGAAATTGCGCAGAAAGACAGAAATAACGAATCAATCTTTAACCCAAAATTCTCTCTTTGAAGACTCTCCACCGAATAGCAACTGCACGGCAGAGATTCAGGAGAAGGAGAACGAAAAATATCACATGCACGGGTGGGGGTGAAATTTGGAGAGGAGGAGAGGGAGGAGAGAGAATGAAACTTGGAAGGCAGACTCGAGGGAGGAGATCTTGACTTCCTATTTGCCCCTGTACCGTTGTACGTACTGCCCGGGTGATAAAACCCCTATTCTTAGCTCTCTGAATCTTTTGTCTTTTAACTTAATAATAATTTTCTTTTTCTGGCGGAGAAGGAGAAAGAAAGTCTAAATCAAGAGCGAAAACCACACGGGTGGTGCGGGATTGGCTTCGCTCCTTGTTGACGCGGTGGATTGCATGTCTTTTGTCTCGAAAAGGGTTTCTGAAATTTTGTTGTAAATTTGCATTTGGGTTTTGGAATTTCCTTCCCCAGTGAAAACCAATATTTATAACGATACCCTTTTCTACTCCCTGCTAATTTAGTTCCTTCTGATTTTAAGTTGTTCTGACATCGATCTATGAAGGGAATAGTTATTGAAAAAGCGGGAGGGCCAGATGTGTTGAAGCTGGTGGAATTAGATGACCCGCCACTTGGAGATGACGACGTCTTAATCAGGATTGCAGCCACGGCGGTGAATAGAATTGATTTGCAATGTAGATTATTCGGCTCCAGAAATTCGTTTAATGGTGGTTTGTACATCCCTGGGTTGGAGTGTTCTGGAATTATCATAGCTGTTGGCCAAGGGGTTACTGAGTGGAAAGTTGGTGACAAAGTAAGTTCTTTCTGCCCAAATTCTGCTTCTGCCCAAGTTCTTTCTGCCCAAATTCAGTTAGCTGTTGGCCAAGGGGTTACTGAGTGGGTTGTTGATTCAATACATTTCAATTTCTGCCCAAATTCTTTATGCTGATAGTTTTCTTTCTGCTGTTATTATTAGACCATGACTATTAGGTCCAAGCCCAATTTTTTTAGTTGATTTAGGGCACATAGATTGCTTGTTAAGTCGTCAGAATGCAGAATGAAGAAAAAAATGGATTCTTGTTCGTATTTCTCGATTAGAAAATGTTGGAAATGAGTACCATCTAATAATTAACTTAATGTTGATTGAAGAAACACTGACGATAAATGGTCCTTTGCAGGTGTGTGCCCTTCTCAATGGAGCGGGGTATGCTGAGCAAGTAGCAGTATCTGCTAAGATGGTTCTTCCTGTTCCTTCAAATGTTCCACTTACACATGCTGCAAGCTTGCCGGAGGCTGCTCATAATGCTTGGAAAGTTGTATCTGAAGCTCAACTAGTACGAGGAAGAAAGTTATTGGTAATCCTTGATAGTCCTTATTTTTTGGCTGATGATCTATTATCACGTTATGAGTTAACACTACTAAATTCGAATTCCTAAACATGCTTGATACTTGGAAAAGTTTTGTGCTTTGTAAGTAGCTACCTATGAAAGGAAGAGGAGATGCATCGTTTTTAATGTTTTGGAATTGTTATTATGCTCATTTCACTGTCTTTTGTTATAAGAAGACAACCATTATATGGTCCTTCAGTTTTATTTCTTAATACACTTGTTATAAAGCATGACGTGTTTGACACTGTCCTGTCCATAATGAGTATTTTAGGATTATCAGATTTCTTTTGTAAAAATTGAAATTTACACTCGTGAGGAGGATCTAGGAACACCTACTTGTCCTAGTAAAGTTTTCTGACCAGTGAACCAATTTATCTGGATTACGTCAAAACATCAAACCGAAATCAACTGGGGCATTATTTAAAGATTTAAACTTGCTCTAAAATTTGAATAAAAAAAAGACATAAATTTCTAACAATTAGCTTAATCTATCCTTTTGCTAGAGAAGATACACTTAATTAATCTAGAAGTATGTCTTTGTTGAGGTTTTGATTTCAAGAGTGGTGCTGTAAATTGGATGTTGATGGTGCACATTTTGTGCTTTCCTGTTGTACTTCAGTTGCATGAGTGCTGTGGTTATGTTGGGTTATTTGTCCTTCAGATGGCAAAATGCAAAGGCGCAGTGGTGTATGTCACTGCAGGTTTGCTTCAGTCTTCCCTTGTTAAATATTGTAGCATTCTAATTTACATGGACTGTCTTATTCCTGCTATTTTGCTGGGTTGAATGTATGTTTTTTTTCAGAGACTGATGAAAAGCTGGATTTCTACAAGCGTCATGGTGCTGATATTTGCATTAACTGCAAGAATGAAGATCTTGTCACTCGAGTGATGGAGGAAACCAGAAAGAAAGGTAATACTTGTATCATTGTAGCGTTCCCACTTTTTAAATTTTTATTTTTTTTAGACCCTTGGATTTTGCATTTGCTGATGAGGATGTGAGCTTGTTGAAGTATGTATGAGTTTTTTTTTGTAAGAGAGGTGGACACTGTTGAAATTACTCTCGGCCACTTTTAGTGAATAGTGGTATGATTATCTTTAGTGTCTCTTGAGACATTCATTAGCTCTGTGATAACCATATCTTCCTTCGATTTTTCCATCGTTTCTCACCATAATCTTTTCATCTACACACATAACAATCATTATCAAGCATTTACACCTCAAGCCCGCTACCTAAAAGTCACCTCAAGACCTCTACCTAAGATTAAAGCAATAAAAAAATGGATTCCTCAAGTCCTCTACCTAGTTTCATGCATAGGGTTTCAAACCCTTGCAATTGAAGCTCCAACTTTGAAGAAAAATGGAAGGATTCAAGGTGGATGAAAGCTACCTCTTATCTTTGAAGAAACCAGAAATTTTTTATCACAAAAGCTCCAAGAAAACTGCCAAGATGAAGTCTTCCACCAAGTTTAAGCTAATCTCTAAGTGATATGGAAGTTGAGTGAAGGTTTTGGAGTGAAATTGTGCAAGAATGGAGCAAGAATGATGAAGAGCTTTCTCTTCTTCTTCCTTGGCTGGTTTGGCCAGCACTAAGAGAGAGAAAAGAGAGGTTGGTGTGTTGTGAAGCTTCCCTTGGAAGCTTCATGAATTTGTTGAAATCCTACAAAAGTCAACTACGAATAGTGCTCGCGCGCGCATTTCGTATCCGTTTTCTCTCGGGTTTGTTTCACTTGTGCACTAAACCTCCAATGTAATTCCTTTAACACTATAATTATTCACTCTTAGCAGTCTAGTATAAGTTTCTTAAATCTCCACTTAGCCGTTCTGGCTCAATTTACCCGAACTTCCAATTCGCGCGCGATAAAGCGAGATTTAAAAGTAATTCATATAACGATAATATACTTAACTAATACTAGGGTAAATAATTATAAAAATAACTATTTTAAAAATAAAATATGAGTCCTCACATAATCTATTATGAATCATTCTCAATTCTCCAAGATTATTACACTCTCGGATCGAATATCGCCTCGAAAACGTATACTCGTTATTCCTTGCGAACGAGCCTTTGAAAAATTAAATTTAATAACGGGACATTTTTTAAAATACGAGTAAGACCTTTTTCCATGCAAATGAATTTAAAATGGTTGAAATAAGTTATTCGGGGAAAACGAGTGAATAAATTTTTTAGATAAACCAGTAAAATAAAATAAAATAAGAAAATTTTCGGGTCCTCACATACTAACCTTATTTTCTCAATCAAATTCCATATAAATGCATAACCTTATCAATTAGGCTTTACGAATGAGGGTTTCACTAAGCTCAAGTTCGATCCAAAGGAAAATCTTCTAATTGGGTTGAACTTGGCTCATTTAAAATTCTTTAATGGGTTGGATTTTATTCAATTGAACGCTAACTTAGCCAAAACTTGGCCAATTATTTAATTTAATTTAAAATTTAGACTCAAAAACTAGGTTAAAACCTATTTTTAAGGACTCGCATGGGCTAAGTTTGAGTGAATGCAAATTTTTATATACCAAAACCCTTGATTTTCTTTATAATTCTAAAGTTTCAAATTACTTTATGTTAATACAATTTATAAATTATTAAATTACTTTATTAAAATGATCTTACAAACTAAGGGGTACTTTCATCATTGAAATAGTGATTCTATCTCATCCAATCTCTAACCAAACATAGGATAGGGTTATTTTTAAATGTATCATATCCAATCTAGAGTCAACCAAACACTAGGTAACTTGGATTATTAATCCGAAGATGACTCAACCCAAGATTAATAATTAAGGATGAGTCATCCCATCTCATCCAATTCGTGAACCAAACGAACTCTTGTGTAAACATCAAAATCGCTTGTTTTCTAAATGATCTCTAAATCAAGAAGTTGTTAACCCTATCATCTTATCAATTTATCATCAGTGATTCTAACTAGAATTATAAACCCATATTCCCACCAAAAAGATCTCGAATTGGGTATGATTGTTTGAATTTAGTTTTTCAAGTAATTTTGGAGAATGGACGTTTTTGGACATGAATTCACATTTTTTAATTATAATTTTTAGTTGTAGATTTGATTACAAGCCTAATATTTTTGTAACATTTTGTATGATTGGCCGAACATAACTTAGAATTTAATTTCAATATTTTTTAAACTTATTAAAATATAAAATAATTACGATATCATGCTGACATCAGCGAATTTTCAAGAATGGTCCGATTGATCCAACTAGTTGACTTCTAACCCAATAGTTTAGCCAAGTCGTTATCCAATCCGAGTTTAACAATATTGTTCTAACACAGTGAATTCAATACATGATATTCCAGTTTACAAGCTTAATTCGTAAATATCGTACCATAATTAATCTATATAGAAAAGACATGGGTCTGCGCACAATTTGAGACTATCATTTTAATGACTATCAAAGTTCTTCTCAAATGCTAGTGATATAACGCCTGAAGGTGTTTGGGTGATTCAAGGAAAATTCAATGTCTATTGATACCCTATTTTTCGTTGTTTTATCAAAATTCAATGTCAGGGAAGCAATGTTGGCATATTAAATCAATGCAAAAAATAGAAATCTCTATATTATTATTTAGCTGTCTTTTAGTGAAGCTAAGTTTTTAGTAGTTTTATTGGAGTCAAGTTATAGTAGTTTTAGTTTTTAGGATTTAGTATTTTATTTGGAAATTTCTTTTGGTGTAAGACTTATTTACCAAGTCATCTAATCTATAAATAGGGAGTTTTATTATTGTATTAGTTGAGAAGAGTGGAAAATTTGAGAGCATTGTTATTATAGCGTGTGATTAATATATTATTGTTGATATTTATTTCTCTTTTCCCACACATTTGTATGTGTATAAAATGCCTCCCCCTCGTATTGGTTTTGTCAAATATATCTCCAATAAGTTTTTGGTGAGTTTTTTGGTTTTGACATCTGGTATCAGAGTCCTAGGTACGTTCAAAAAATTGATCTTGGGGTGTCCGTGAATATTGAAGAGTTGTCCAATTACAAGATTAGTTGTGGAAGTTTTCTACTGTCAGAGTTAGAGCACAAAAATTGCTGTTGTGAGAAGTCAGTTGATTGACTTAAACCACAAGATTGGTCATGGAATATCCAATTGATGAAGATTGGACCATAAAATTGGTTTGGAAGAATTGTCAAATTGATTGTGGTTGTGAAGACAGAGATTACAGAAGAATCCTGTCAATTAAATTGTGATTATGAAAATCACAAAATGAGTTGTTAATAAATTGACATCAAATTGTATGACGAAATCAGTCTATTCAAGTTCGTGGATTATTGAAATCAGAAAAGTATTTGAAAATGAAGAACGAATACAAAGTGATATTGATATAATTGCAAGTAGATTATTATTCGAGGTGGTGGTGAACCAAATCCAAAAGAGGGCAATGTTGCCATATTAAATCAAGGTTCAAAGATAGAAATCTCTATATTATTATTTAGCTGTCTATTAATGAAGCTAAGTTTGTAGTAGTTCTATTGGAGTCAATGATGATGGACCCACGGCTGATCAAACTCCTCAAGGTTCGAAGGTTCCAGGTTCTAGTGAAGGCCACAATTTGTTTCAAATGGTCCAATAACAAGAGCTCATGCTAAGAAGGTTAGAGAGTCATTTCAAACTTTAGTTCGAGATGTACAAATTCAAGTTGATGATACAAGCAGCATTCAAGGATTTGAGCAGGATGAAACAACACTTCACACACTTATTCAAGTCGTTAATGCAAGTGAAGTGGACTGAGGAACCAAAACCGGGGACAAACCGTTAGAAACCGTCGGATGGATACTAACCAAGGGAGAATCTGTAGAGAAACCAGTCGCGAATATGTTTGCATTTCCTTGGTCGGCATTCTATGACTAAACCATTGAACCAAACTGCAGGAGGTTGCAGAGCAAACCGTCCCCGGTTATGTGTCAGACCAGTTTTTTAAATTTTTAGCGATTTTTATAGTTTCAAACTATTTCCTATTTTTTTAGCATTTGTTTAGGTCCTGTAAGCCTATAAGTTATATCTAGCGTATTTTAGTACAAAAATACTAGTACCTTTAGAGTTTAGGAGTTTATGTTATTTTAGGAAAGTAGTTAATTATTTTTAAATTAGTTTAGGATTTGAATCTTTGTAAAGGCTATAAATAAAGCCTTATCCATGTTACTTTCATAGATTAATATGATTGAGAATTTCCAGCAAACACGTATGTGTTTCGTAACTCTCTTATCCAAGAGATCCAACTTGAGTGCTTGAGAATTCTTCTTGAATGTTCATTTGACTTATCAACCAAAAAGCCACAAATTAGTTGTGGCGTCTTCTACCAACAACCTTGGTTCAATATCTCTATTAAGTTGTGGGTCACGATTAAATTCAAGGTTTATAATTTCATGAATTAGAAGGGTCAAGAGTTTCTACAACTCTAACTTGATTCTTCATCTAGATTCGTGGCTTTGTGGAATATGAATTCATGTCTTTATTGGTGGGTTCGTATCGGTCAAGTTATAGTAGTTTTAGTGTTTAGGAAGTACTCTATTCGTTCCATTGAAAGTGTCATACTTTTTTTTTTTGCTGTCCCAAAATATTTGTCATGTTTGACATTTCTAACTACTTTATATTACGAAATTTCCCTTATACGCTTCATTAATGATGCATAAAGACAAATATGATGAGATTGACCAGCACATGATTAAGGGCAAAAGTGGAACAGAAGGAAAAACTTTTTGGTGGAGTGTACAATGCATAAAAAGCACATATCCCCAAATATAACTAAATATATGGGAAGAAGGGAGTAATATTCTATTAGGATATTTTTTATAAGGGTTATTATCACTTTATCCTCTTAAACTATATCCCTACTATCAGTTTACCCCTAACGTTATCTTTTAGTCACTTTACCCCCATAAATAATTCAGCTCAATATGTTAAGAAATTTTGGACAAAAATACCCATTTATTTTAGGGTTAATCATATTTTATCCCCTTAAAGAATACCCCATTTCTCAGTTTACCCTTAACCTTTAGTTTTGCTCACTTAACCCCTTTAGGACAAAATTGCCCTTGCATTATTTTGACTTTTCATTTACCTTGTTTTCCTTTCTTTTATTTCTATTTCTCTTTCTTCTTTATTTAATTCTTCCTCTTTCCCATAAAATTTTCACCTTAATGATTGAAATTAAAAAAGAGGAATTGCAGAGATCTATCTTCTTCTTAAATGATTAAAAAAATATTCACTTTCCTAAAAATACAAGTTTTTTAGCCTTTCAATTCTTTTTAATTTTGGATTCTCCTCTTTCCTTTCTAGTTTCTCATTTTATTCTCAAGAAGATGTCATAAGATGAAATTGTTTTCCTTTCTTTTATTTCTTTTTCTCTTTCTTCTCTCTTTCATCCTTCCCAATATAAATTCCATTTCAACAAAAATTTTTGTTTTTAGTTTGTAATTGCATATTTTTGGGTGAAGGTTTAAATGGTATCAAAAACTAATTTTGATTTTTTGTATGATGCCACGTATCACAAATTTCAATTGATGATTATTAATCATGTCACAATTTCATTTTAAGATATTTTC